AGCGCCATCTTTCCATTTTCTTTCCTAATTCTCATTATTTCATCATTTATTTCTGAAACGAATCTTACATTAAAAATGTCCTTGCATCCGACAACTGAATTATACGACATTACACAGAATGGGTTCAAATTACAATTAATTTTTGTATGATTATTTTTGTTGAACTGCTTATAAAAATATATTTAACTTTCACATAACAAGACCGACTGGTAAAAGGGAAAATTGAATGAAATGAAGTTACAAATACACGAGAAAAGACCGACCACATCTTTTCAAGGGTTGTGCGCGAAACGCCCCCCGTATGCACTGTTACGATTAATGCTAATAATGCTCTAGCTCTCATGTGTTATCTCTTTCAGCACGGGATAAGTTGTTGTTGTTTTTTATTAATGAGGAGTGCACTGTTCGGCAATACACTTAAATAAACCATCAGCTCATCGTCAAGGTGCAATAAACAAGCCTTAAGCAAGTTACAGCGCTTCAATTTCCATGACCGCGAGGTGCCACGCACAGCTAGGATGAGTAGTCACAGTCACAATACACGTCTAAACTAAGTGGCTGCGACTGGAAGTAGTACACATATCTACGGGAGGAGGTTAGCCTGTGGCTTCAACAGACCCACGTTGTATCCATTGTCAGCACGCTGCTGGTCAACGAACTCGATCACTTCTTTCACAGTTCCACGGAACACCTCGGCGAGGAGTTGCAAGACGCAACGCGTTGGTCTGGAACTTCGTCCGTCAAAGTTCACGTATTTCAGGTATCTCGGAGGGTCTTGCACGACTATCATGGAGCCTTTGCTGTGTGTTCATCCAGTTATTTTGTAAAACTATGGAGGAATTGTTGAAGGAAGAAGTTCCACGTTCCTACCCCGAGAACTCAGGTGGCTCTCGTCCGCCGCGGAGTCCCAGTACGTTGGTGGGATTTCGGGCGAGTTCACGGGTCTGCCAGTGAGGGTTGTAACGTCCCAGCTCGGCTTACATGGCACTTTGTGTGACCTGACCTAGACTGCATTGGTACATTGTAACAAAACAGACAGTTTGTGGCTTTCCTCAGTGGTTTATGTCGATTGTCGGTATCGGTAGGTAACTGTTGTGCTGTCTTCTTGATTTGGCATGACGAAGAATCTAACTTCTAAGCATGAACCACGAAGGAAGGAAAACAGGTGGGCCCAGTGACAGATGTATTCAATGACACCATGGTGAATTCCTGAGCTGTTCCACCTGGCACCACTTGATAGTCCATAGGCCAACCGACCGTGCCTTGCTTTGTTGATGTACCGTACGTACCGTCATTTCTGTACCTCCTTTACTGCACTCCTTTACTACAGTGCGGGTAAGTCATTCAGGTAAGTACAATGTACTTAAATGGTTGGAGTTGCAGCCTTGCACTGATTTTGGAAATTGGCAATGGCATATTGCTTTTTCATAGAGCAAGGAAACAGACAGGTTGAATGATGAGTATATTTAATTAAAGGAAGAGAGGCGGGGAAGTTCCTTTTATTAGAATTGATTGGGGATGTACTGTAAGTTGCTCAGAATGTACAGCTATGACAACATTTTTTTTAAAATGGTCGCTAGCTTTATTGTAGTTGTAACAGTATAATGTGTGAGTGAGGTTCACTTAGTTACTCCAGTAGAAATACATGTACAGTAGAAATGTAGCTATGAATCACTGCAGATAGTAAGTTCAAAAGAAGTTCAAAGTACATGTACTTGTTTTTCCTGGGGGGGGGAAGGAATTGACACTACAGAATCTTCAGTCTTGGTGTCACTGTTGTCACTGTCACTTGAGGGACTGGGGCGTTATGTGCAACTTTCCTCTAAGG